TGTTGAAGTCTTTCTCAGAGTTCTCGATGTGTGATCCTAGATACTTGTAGTCTTCGGACATTTGACGATGTTATCTGAGAGTGTTTTTGATCTCATGATTGTTGCGAATGTTAATTGGCATACACTCAGTTTTAGTTTCATTTAGGTGTAGACCTGCACAGTTAGCTGCTGATTCAAGAGAAGAAAGGAGTGCTTGGGCACTAATGAGGTTGTCAGACAACAGTGCAATGTCATCGGCAAAATCAGCATTGGTGATGTAAAGTGCAGGATGACGTGAGCTTCTAGGCTGATACATCAGACCATTTTCTTTGATTGTATCCACTGATATATGCATGATGTAGTCTATTACAATGATGAAAAAGAAAGGTGCAAGTGTATCACCTTGGAGAATGCCAGCCAGAATATAGAAAGGTTCTGTTTCTCCATCTGGGGTCAGGACAGTGGCCTGTGTGTTGGTGTACAATACTTTGATTGCTTCAATGATTTCTACTGGTATGCCATAGAGTTTAAGAATTTCAAACATAGTCTCGTGAAGTTGACTGAGTCGAAAGCTTTGTTGAAGTCTACAAAGATAAGAGCTGCAGTTTTGTTGCAGAATGTGATTTCCTCAATTATTCTACGAATGTGAGGATTTGTCCAAGAGTGGAATGACCTGGCGGAAATCATTTTGGTTTTTGAGAATGGGTTCAACTTCAGCTTCATTCGATTTAGAAGAAGTTTGTTATAGATTTTCGCAGCTATAGGAAGCAAACGAAATACCGCAATAATTGGTTGGTAATGTCAAATCAACCTTTTTGGGATAGGGATGATTTGTAGCATCGTAGCCAGATAATTACACAGATCAAGAAGTAATTGGTGAAAAATAGGGTCCTTCCACAAGATGACCGGAATCTTGTCAGGACCAAGAGCTTTGTTCATTGTCTTCATTAGAACACATTTCAACTCTGCAATGGTGAACTCTCCTGTTGATATGTTCAAAGCACTACTAATTTGGACTTTGGGAGGGACACGTGATCAGAAAGACTTTTGGGATTACCAAGGAGGTCTTTGAAATGAGAAAGCCAATTACCAAGCCGTTGCTCAAGGGCTGCTACCTTTAATTGTTGGTGGAGGTTTTGATCCCTTTCCCACTAGTTCATTTATAGTTTTCCAAGCTGCAGAGTGTTGTTGGTTGACATGAAGATGGGAAATATCAGTTATTTTCCCATTTATATAAGCTTCTTCAGCTTCAAGATAAGCATGGTAAAGGGATTTTTTTGCAGCTGTTAACTTCTTATTGCTCTGAGAAGGGTGGCAGTGGTACATTGATGAGGTTTTCTTGAGATTTTCTCGAGCTTCTGAGATTTTGATGCCTGAACTAACTGGACTTCTTCGTGATTTTGTTTTTTTGGGGAGTGTAGATAGAGCCACCTCCTCGTTGGCTTTAATCAAGTTTCCATAGATCAGGTCTATGTTCCTTGAATCTAACTGAGAGTTGTCTGGGTCGTAGTGAAAGAGTTCTTGGAATCTGTTAAACACATTCACTGCATACTGAGATGATAGATTCTTGTCACGGTAGACCGCTTTCCAGTCAATAGTTTTCATGGGATCCACAGTTGGTCTCTTCGAAACTCTAAAACTCAGTTTAACTGTGGCAGAGACGATTCAATGGTCAGATCCCACGGAAGAGAAAGATGAGTATGCTCGGCAGTCCTTAATGCTATTCTGCCACTTCTTACGAACCAGTATGAAGTCTAGTTGGGCTCTGCTGCCATTTGGATACTCAAAGGTCCATAGTTGATTGTTGCACTTCATAAATTTAGTGTTAGCTGGATACAGATTAAATTCCTCCATTAAGTCAACCAGATACTCGCCATTACGGTTGGTTTCTGTATGGAAAGTGAATTTGGCATCATCTGTTCCAAGCTTAGCGTTCTAGTCCCCAAGTACTAAGAGAAAGTTGTGAGCTGGAACATTCTCTAGAGAAGAACGTAGAATATTGTAAAACTGGTTTATTTCTTCATCGTCACTATCGTTGTGGGGACTATAGCAAGATATGACTGTTCTAGAATTACCTTTGAAATCGGCAATAACGACTCTTGATGATATCTTCACTACGCTCGATAAATTCTCCATCGCTTTTGGCGAAAGCAGAATGCCTACACCCCCTATAGATGAGTTGGCGGAGTTCTTCACACATGAGGCTGTAACAAGATGATAGTCTTCGATCCTGTGATACTCAATATCAGTGTCAGGATGGAAGATACGATGTTCTTGAATGGCAATGATATCGATATTCTGATCCTCTGTATTTTTCACAAGTTCGTTAAGACGGGACGGTGGATTCAGTGTCCTAGTGTTGAACGTGCTGATAAAAGCACGGTTTCTACATGATACAAATTTTGATCTCGTTCCTTTATTGTCGGGGGCAGTCCACCCCGCAGGATTCAGAGCTGTTCCCTCAAAGTTTCAAGCAGTGCATGATGACAACCAGGCCCACCCTGCTGAACAATGGGACACCTGCCGGACGTGGGGCCTTCACAAGAAGTTCCAGCCCCATTTACGTCGTTATCTTCAATACTTTGATTGGTGTAGTTCATAATCTTGTCAATAGCTGGATTCTTGATGCTTCGCTAGGGCTATCAAGGGTGTTTTTATCGTGACACCATCACTGAATGGATTGCCAACCAAGGCTCAGAGAGACTCCATTCACCCTCATCTAAGAAAGGCTATCCTGCACCAGATTCCAGCCTGGTGTTTAAATGCCTCGCGGTAAAAGGTACTACTTGTACCCACTGCCACTTAGATACATAGAACATACACTGAATGTCAGAGTAAACAGAATTTTTCTAGTAGTAAAACAGAGTAAACAAAAAATTTACTAGTAGTAAAAACGAAGCAAAATAACGTTATAACTGGGAACGCGTTTTCAATAAAATTGAAATTACGTTACTTTACAAATAAATAAGAAAATGTAAAGAAATAAAATTCATACTAAATGTTGTCAAAGAATCTTTGAATATAAAATAATAGATGAAAAAAAAAGGCGATAATGAGCCACTAGTCAAAGATAAACAAAAAAACATTACAAAAAATGCTTTCCTCTAATTCCGAAAATTACGACCACCTTCGTAAAAACAGATAAATAAATGTTAGGCTTAGATATAAATAGAATAAAATTAATCATACTACTATATAATTAATCTAACAAATACAATACATTATGCTCTTAATGTAACTCTTAGCGAGAAATTTTACTTGCGAAACAATTGTTTTAAAAAAAAAAAAAAAAGGAGAAACTCACTGTATACCACAACTAAACAAGCATGTAAAAAAAAAAAATACATATAATAAATACTGTAAATGAATTAAACAAGAAAAATATAAAAACAATACAATCGAGACTTTCCTTAATATCGCTTTCTTTGAGCAATGTAAAAACACGTCAGCGTTCTCTTATCCATACCACTGAGGATGTATGGTACTTTCTCCTCATTCTTTACATGTTTGATAATAAAAATATTTCCATTTTCTGTTTAAAAAGATGAAATGATTCCGTTAGGTTTTTTTTTTTTTACATTCCTGCTGTCTGTTGCATTATTACAGAAATTGAAATTTGGTTGTACTTTTTTACCGCTGCCATCATGAATAAGATTCCAGGATACTGGTGTAACTTTAAATTACTTTTATTAATAGAAGATAATGTTAGAATACATGCTGTTATCTGCATTCAAACCAGCCACACAGTACTGCCGAGTAAGTAAGCTAAGAAGGACTCTTTGGTGAACTGGTGTTACTTATATAGTAGTTCGTCATGAAAGACATTCATGTTGGAACCTATTAGATAGGGTAGGTTAGTTTAACTGCCCTATATAAGGAGGGATGGAGCAAAACTGAGATCCTCCCAGAACAAAAATGTCTTAGCTTTTTTAAGTTGGCATTTTCAAGTTTGTGAAAGAGGTGACTCCAAATTTTGAAGTATTCCCCGGTATCCCTCACTAGGATAAATAACTCCAGGGGCGTGAGAAAAATTCTGGGGGTCCTCCACTGACTTCCCGGCAACTTTGTCCAATTTCAATAGTGCCCGTTTTTGTTTAGACATGGCATTTTTAACTTATTCTCAGTCTACATTGCAAATGTCTTCCGGTCCTGGAAACTGTTTCTTTTTCTTCTTCTCCCTTGATGGGTGGGGAGGGGAGGGGAAGAAGTGGATGTAGGTTGGGTGGAGAGTGAGCTGAGGGAAGAGTTCGAGGAGGAGGGGGGAAGAAGCACAGGAGGGGGAAGCAGAGAGGCTCCTTGTTTTTGTTGTTCCTGACTGCCTGAATCAAGTGAAGCGATCCTATTTATTAATTTTTTGGGTTTCAAACTGGCTCCAGGTAGGTCAGCGGGAAAACAGATTTGTCGCAACTTGCTACATTTTTTGGGTCCTTTTAACCAATGAGAAGTCAAGTTTGAAAAAGTGACGTAATGATTGGTTAAAGTTGATTTGGGGGAAGAGTGCATTTTTCCGCAGGGGTGAGTAGCAAATATGGAAGATTCCATTACAATAATGGTATAAATGTTGATAAAATTAAATTTTATTAACATCTAAAAGTCTCTTTCAATACTGTTTCTTTGGATATGGTCACTCAGTAGTGATAGCACTTAAAAAACAAAAAAAAACAAACAATTTTGGTTTCGTAAAAAATTTTGATGCAGTTTCATGGAGTGAAGATGAAACCGAAAAAAGTTGTTTTTTTGGTTAAACTGCACATCTCTAATTTACAAGTAATCCTCCTCCTTTCTATGCATTCTTCTCCTTTCCCATCTGCAGCAGACTTATTAAGCTCAGTCAAGCTTATTTTCTGTTACCATAGCTGGGCATTACAAGAGAATTGCAAAAATCAAAAACACTATTGTTTAGCAAGCAGGTACCTGTAATATCACAAACCTTTTGTACTGTGGGTAGTTTACTTGTGTGTTAAAAATTTAAAAAAAAAGTTGTGTGTTTTGATTTTTAATTTCTCAATTATATTTTTCAGTGGAGTGAAGTGTTTAGCATGGACATGTTTGATACTCGATTCAAGAAGGAAGGGATTATGAATTCAAAAGTTGGCAAGGATTATCGGAATTTTATATTAGCCCCTGGTGGATCACTAGTAAGTTCAAAACTTTATATTTAGTTTTTTATTTAAAATTCTTTTGCATATGAAAAACATAAGTGTACTGTATACTTATGACACAACCACCTTGCATATGAGAAAATTTGTCTTTTATTCTTTGTTTCAAGTTCTTAAAAGTTGACAATAATATAGTTTTGTGGCGAATAAAGAAAACAGCAACCAGCAAGTAAATTCAAGCTTTCTCAGCTGGTATTTCAACCTCGAATGGTTCCTTCTTGAGTTCTGTCTCAAAATCGCACTAACAGACTGTTCTAGCCACCAACCATCAACGTCACTCGAAGAACTCCCTGCACTGGGAAAAAGTAGTTGCTTTTATATTTGTCCGTATACCCATAATCCCTTGTGTCTTCATGTGATCCCATAATTCATTGCGTCCATGTCCCATAATGCATTGCATCTTTATTGCATAAAAATGCAATGCAAGTCCCCCCCCCTCATTCTTTTATGTTATCTGGCCGAGGATGGATTACGGCAGAGCGGTAAATGTTTTTTTTCTCCCTCATTTCAACTGTAGTAGCTTTACATGCTAAGCAAATCTAATCTCTTTTTTAATGCGGGGAAAGGCAAGTCGCAACCAGTTGTGCTCGTCCCAGGTTCTGTCTCATGTCTGCCACACTGCCCCCTGATCTCCTGATCACACAGATGACAGTGCGGATACAGTCTTTTGTTCCGGGTGCTCCTCCGATCTATTGGCAAACTACTGATATCGGAGTGATCGGTTGTTGAATCCAACTTTACGTATATTGGCTGTTCACTATCCTCTGTGTCTTCTTCGTCAGTTGTGGGATTTGAGCCCAAAAAAGGGCGCATGTCTCTAACATGACGAGGCATTCCATCGACCCGCACTGACTGCTGACTCACCACCTCGGTCACACGTCCGGTTCCAAATTTGGTCATGCATTTACCACGTGGAGTCTTAACCCAGACAATGTCCCCTTTCTTGTATTCCCCTTCGGTTATTTGTGATTCAGGTGGGGGTGTTGCATCACTGCCTCTCACTCGGACATGGTATGTGTGCAGTACATCAGCCGGTGCCATGAAAGGTTGTTCTTAGGTGTGACGTTATGCCAGTAAACCGCTTCCAAGACTGAACAATTTTTTCTGAACGCTATGGTTTTGACGCTTCTGTGGTTGCATTCCACAATGCCATTTCCAGACGGCACGTAAGCACACCGAACCTTAAATGCACGCCCCAGCTGCTTACAAATTCCTTAAATTGTCTGCAAGTGAACGTGGTGTCATTGTCAGTCAGTATTTCAGTTAGCGGGCCTCGTTAAGAGAAAGACTGTCTCCATCTGACGAATGACACCAGCAGAGTCTTGCCGTCTCAGTGGCCGCCATACTGTAAAACGGGAGCACAGTCAATGAGTGTAAGAAAATGGCTACCATTGTAATGGGTCACGGCCATTGCTAACCTGCTCCAGTTTCTTCTCACACTCAAATTTCCTTTTTTCCAATGCACTGGTGCTGGATAATTTGATTGGCAGGCTTCGCAGGTTCTAATAACAGATTTTATCAGTTCCTTAGACACCGTTGGATCTACGGTCCTAGCAAAGTACATTGTTCTTTTTTTTAACACCGGGTGCCCACTCTGCTGGTGGATGTGGGTCACCTGACATTTGTTCAACTGGCTCGTTGCAGTGGCACAACTCACTTGCACCGGTTCTCCTCCTTTCTTGTGCATCTCCAACCAGCGTTGCGGCACTCTGGTGAGGCTGTCAGCGCGTTCTGACAAGATTTTTACCAACGTCACAGTCATAGTCAGTGCGTACTCCTCCACCAAAGCTCGCAGTGTCTCTAAGCGCCGCCTCATCAGCATTTCACCCGCCGCCTTTAATGTTCACATTGTGTCTTTCCTGTCAGGGTGTCAGACATCCACCGATGCACACATGCTGAATCAGTGACCACATGCATAACTGGTGCCTGCCACTGCAGGGCAAGATTCACGCCCTTGATCACCGCATCAAGCTCAGCAAAATTAATGTGTCTGGCATCATTAGTTGGACGTAACCAGCAAACATCTTCCACGATTCACCTCTAGTGCTCCTCCCGTAGCCACAGAGCTTGCATCCACCCAAACTGTCATTTCATTGCCGTTCACACAGCAGTCTCCACCGACAGGATCTGATTCCCGCACTCTGGCCACTGTTTCCTCCAGCATACGTCCAAGAGGGGCATCCTTTATCTCATCATCCCATCCTTTGGTTAGTGTACTTGCATAACACTTAATAAATGCAGTTGCCACTCTAAGCCAACCGCACACAGGGAAATGACCCACAAGTTTCCCGCACAAGGAAAATACGCTTCAGCGGGTCACCATTTGAGCAATTTCTGAAACCTGACCTCCCCGCTTCCATCGAAGGGAGTTGCTTTCTTCCCAGACTTGCAGACCCAGGACCTTAGTTCCGTCTCTCAATTGCTCCGGATCTTTACAGACTAGCCCGTAATCTGCAAAGTGCTGTCTTACGCACGCTGCAGAAACTAGGCCTTCATTTATGAAGATATCGTCAACGTATGCCGACGGGGCACTCTTAATGTCCTGATCCTGGGATGTTATCATGTCGATCACTGACTTCATGACAAGTAGTGCCACATTCAGGCCAAAACCCAAACGCGTAAGGCAAAACCGCTTACCCTTAATGACCACTGTTTGAAAAGGCCATAGCGATTTGTCACTGTGGATCTGTAGGTATGCATTTCTCAAATCCAACAGCGATACGTCAGCTCCTTGTCACCGTTCTCGTAATTTCTGCGCACACACCTCTGTGTCAGCCGTAAATGCATCTACAAAGCCATTCAACTCCCGATAGTCAAGTACCAGCCGGACTTTCCGTTTGTGTTCTTGTACGACCGCCATTAAGGGAATTAATCCCTTGGGTGGGCCAAGGTCTTTCTCGGAATATGGCAGTAGCCATCCGTCTCACTGCCACTGTTCTAGTTCTTTATCGTATGCATCCCGGACATGGCCAGGTACTGTGTACTCCTGTACTTTATTGACCAACTTGCTAGGTGAATGACCACTCGCCCACTTCCACAATGCAGTCCACGTTTTCGTGCTCGGGTTAAATGTCACTCTAAAGTCAGGCTTGTTGATAAGAATGGCGGCACATGTGTTCAGGTTTCTGAAACGCGTTTCGCCTGATTCGGTCAGGTGAACACCTCTGAGCAGTTTGATTGCATCAATCCCGAGAAGAAGATCGAACCCTAGCAAGTCCTTCCACAACCAGAACCTCAACAGTCATGGGCTGAATCTGCTCGACGCCCAACTTAATTTTACCGTATCCATGACACTTCAGGGTACTCCCGTCAGCAGTCAACACTCCCACCTCTTCCTGCTTCCAGCAGCGACACACAGCCTTGCTCACCAGCATCCCGAATCCACTAGAGCTGTGCACTCTACTCCATTTACAAATACTTGTACGGTGGGTAACTTCCAGGTTTTTACTTGCTCAGGGAGAAGGCTGGCACTGACGCCTTTAATTTTGGGTGTTTCCCTGGCATTCTGAGGAAATGTGTCCAATGCCATTGCATCGAAAAACACCGCTTGTCGCGCCAGACCTCTGCGTTCTGTTTGACCTCTCCTGACGTCCTTGTGTACAATTCTTTTATATGGTTGGGTCCAGAGCACTTGTAGCAGGTAATCGTTCTGCTAACAGGTTTGGCAGGGGGAACCTCAGCTTCTGAGCACGGTAGCTCTACGGATATGGTGGCCAATACCTGGCACCCTTCATCATCCATCATAATAGCCCTTGCTCGGGTCAGAATCTGTTCTAGATTCATGTCGTCGATCCTGGATGAAGCTTTGAGAAGCTGCCTAACATGATGTGGCAGCCCTGACACAAATGCACATGCCATCCACCGATCAGGCAGTGGTTCTCCTATTAGCCACGCCAAACGATGCATTTCAGCCAGGAATTCATCCACTGTTTCCCCTGGGCGAAGACGCCATCCCATAAATTGGTCGAACGCATTAAATCTGTCAGTCGTGTATGCAGTCATAAGGGCCTGTTTAATTTGTTCCGCATCTGCCCTCTGCTCTCCACTAAGTTGTCTATACACAGCAAGGACACCGCCTCGTAGTCGTAGAGGCAAGATGCGCTCGATCTTGTCCATGGCGCAAAGTTTGCAGACCAATTCCACATTTTCTATCCATTCAACAATGGGCATATCCGTTGGGGCACCGCTGAATTCTGGAATCAAACGGACGTCAAAGACCTTGCCTTCCATTTTGAAGAATCAATAGGGCGAAATAGCTTGTGGCGAATAAAGAAAACAGCAACCAGCAAGTAAATTCAAGCTCTCCCAGCTGGTATTTCAACCTCGAGTGGTTCCTTCTTGAGTTCTGTCTCAAAATCGCACTAACAGACTGTTCTAGCCGCCAACTGTCAACGTCACTCGAAGAACACCCCGCACTGGGAAAAAGTAGTTGCTTTTATATTTGTCCATATACCCATAATCCCTTGCGTCTTCATGTGATCCCATAATTCATTGCGTCCATGTCCCATAATGCATTGCATCTTTATTGCATAAAAATGCAATGCAAGTCCCCCCCTCATTCTTTTACGTTATCTGGCCGAGGATGGATTACGGCAGAGTGGTAAGTGCTTTTTTCTCCCTCATTTCAACTGTAGTAGCTTTACATGCTAAGCAAATACGGGCTCTTTTTTGGCAGGAACAAGGCCAGTCACAACCAGTTGTGCTCGTCCCAGGTTCTGTCTCATGTCTGCCACAAGTTTGCATATTGGCCACACATAACTTTCGACTAAAAAGATAATTTTTGCATTTGATGAACTACTCAACAGTTTAGATAATTTAAACAATACATACAAACTGAATGTAGTATAGACTTTTATCACTCCATTTGTGAGCAAGTGTACAAATAGTAGATAAGCTGAGTAACTGTGTTTTTGGGTTGCAAGTTTTTTTGTAAAGCTGTGTTTAATGATTCAGCAGTTTTCATCTCAACCTTAAATCGGAAATTCAGCAAAAATAATTTTGTGACCCAAACATTTCAAGAATAGATCTGTCAAATGAGTTGTTTTGTTAACAAGCATGGTACATTGCAAAAGATTGTAGGCAAAGTATCCATAATGTTTGTGACATGCATAGAATTGGTGTATAAGACCATTCAGTACATTTTGGTAAACATTTGGAAGATAAGATGCATCTTGGTACAAACTTTATGCCAATACTACTGAGCAATGACCAGAAAAAATATTGTTATTCTCTGCAAGAAATCAGAGGTGACCCCAATTTAATCACCAAAATTATAATCCTTGATATTTTGTGGGTTTATAATTATGATCTCGAAACAAAGCAGTAGTCTTCACAATGAAAGTTATCAAAATCAACTCTGCAAAAACAATCAAGTTACTGACCACAAAAAAATTCATACTCACAATTCAAAACATTAACTAGCAATTTTACTGCATGATTTTGAAGAGGTTAAGGAATAATTTTCAAATTAGACATTGAAACATGTGAAAGAGCAATGGCTGGATTCTTCACTATGACAATGCACTTGCACACACACATTCCTGGCTTCTAAAAAATGTGATATTCATTCCCCATTCTCCTCAGAATCACTTGTTCTTGCTCTTTGAAAATGTTTCCAGTTACCTAACATGAAATTCTTGATGAAAATCACAAGAGGTGCATGAATGCATTGGAAAACCGTTAGAATTGTTGTATACACATCCAAGTGAACTATTTTAAGGGAATAGATAGATAGATTACGTGGTAAAGTAATTTATATTGTAATATATTTGTGACAAATTCCCCTGTGTTCAGTAACATCCAAGTGAACTATTTTAAGGGAATAGATAGATAGATTACGTGGTAAAGTAATTTTTTTTCATGGTCAAATTCTTCAGACTTTTGGGTAGAATTTTGTATTTACAGTATAATTGATTTATAAGCAATATTTGTAAGTCATGTAATGAAAAACACACTGCTCTCCCCAAAATTTTAATATTATTTCTTGGTTTTCTGGTAATATAGAAAGCAAATTAACTAAATGTAAATGTTAGTTTAAGAAAATTTGACATCAGTCAATATTGTTATAAGGAAACTTTCTCAAATATGATAATCTTAATAAATGAAAAAGTATTGTTGCAAGAAGCATGTGTATGAAATTTCAAAATTTAATTATTGTTAATCTATTTCTTCTGTATTTTGTTCAAAACCATCAAGATTCGGAGTTACAAAGTTTCATTTTTTTATTTATTTATTTACTTATATGTTTTTTTTTTCAGGATGCTGATGAAATGTTGCATAATTTCCTTGGGCGTGAACCTAATGAAGAAGCCTTCTTAATCAGCAAAGGTCTTTAGATAAGATTCTGATTAAACAGATTCAAAGAAATTTCTTGTTTCTTCAGTAATAAATATCAATAATTACGATGATTGTTTTCATAAAGCAGATATATATATATATATATATATATATATATATATATATATAAAACTGGTTGTTTTAAATTTCCAAATGTTTGAAAGCAATAAAATTTAACCAAATCTATTAATCTCATTTTTATTTTCAGAAATAGTTTTATATTAAACTAGCTCAAACCTGTTCTCTAATTTTCTAACTTATGATGTCTCACTATTCACATTATTCGGACTATTGTCTTCATTTTTGTCGCCATGTTTATCACAACATTTCGGCTGTTGTATGCTCCGGCCTTCTTCAGGTGGTTGGAATGTATAACTGAACCCACTCACTGGGGTAGACAGTTCAAGTTCCATGTGCCATGTCTAATGGATGTCAGTTATCTCCTGTTAATTCCCCTCTGAAAGTTCTCCACTGCCTTAACCAGGTATTGAACATCCATTAGACATGGTACATGGAACTAGAACAGTTTACCCCAGTGAGCAAAATAAAGTGCTCAGTTCGACATTCCAACCACCTGAAGAATTCTCCCCATCCCCAGCCAAAAAAAGGACTTGAAATTAAGTTGTTTATATAAAAACCTATCTATTGTAGTTGGTACAAGTGCAAGACATTTCAACCCTGAGCTCTTCTAAAAACATTGTAGATGGAAAGGTCTCCTGTACAGAGCATTGTTCAGCCAGTGACTGGAACTTGAGCATCTCCATGTTACATTTGCTTGCCATGATCAGGGTCCCCAGTTTTACATTATAATATGCATCATCTGAAAAGCTGAGATATACACTTCATTACCAATCCATTACTTTTTTCTATGTTGGTAATAACAACCAAGTAAAATCACAGCATGAACCTAAAGTTTCAAGCAAGTGCTTAAAGAGTAAGTTTATTCTGACTTAATAGTCCTACTTGTAAAAGATTAAAGCAATCTATGTACTGCTGTGTACCAAGAAACATATGCCTGAGGTTTTTATTCAGAATATATTTGTGACAAATTCCCCTGTGTTGACATGCCTAGCTACCAACTGCTGGCAGCTGAGTATTTACCCTGTACCTTAGGAAGGCACGTCTATAGCATGGAGGGGAGAGACACTCTTTGCAGATTTTCTGAGTTGTTGTCCACAACTCAATTCCTGAAGCAAATTTTGACTATTTAAATGTTAGCGGCCAAAACATCACATACAGAAGCAAACACATCAACTTAAACTAATTTCTATAAAGTAATGTCATCTGTGGCTAACACAGTTTGACATTTCATTAGTAAATACTGCAGAAATATGTACTGCACCAAACTGTCATCACCATAAATCCCAGTCCAATGTTTCAGGCAGTATAAAAATTGAAAAAGCCTTTTATTCCCCATCACTTCAGCATTTAGGAGCTGGAGCACTTTCTTTTCTGATAGTAATGTCCTTGAAATAACCTATTTCTTAGACTTACCAAAGAGGGAGTTGTAGGCTAGTGAATTATTCAATAACTAACCCTAGTAGCAACCAGCCTCAATCTGTACTAAATACAATGCAGAATCACATCTAATAAACAGCAAGCTATGTTCAGCAACAAACAAAAAAAATATCAGGGATGGTGAAAGAATTAGAAATACTTTGATTGGAGTAGAATGTACCACATGATGAGTATTGGCAAGGAAGTATGAAAACTGAAGAAGTGCAGTAAGCTATATCGAATATGGCACATAGTAGAAGGAATATCTGTGTTAAATTAAGGCAGGACTAACTTATATATGCCTAACTCTGATAGATTTTACACCTCTATACAAATGTAAATAATATGTATATCAGTTAGGTCACCAGTTATCAAGTTCAGTACAGCCTAAAACTTAGAACTGTTCTTGATATGTGAAAAGGGTTTGCCTAGAAGTAGATGTCCTCACAATGGTAAACCTGAATAAGGTGGTAAAAATTTGGTTACCCTCAAAATAAACATTTATTTACATGGAGATAGTTTATTACATAAGGTCATTATGATAACTGTCCACACAATGTAATTATACATGCACAAAGGACTGCACAGAGAAATATTCTTCAAAAGAGGAATAAGAAAGTTCTTACCTTTTAGGATGGATGAGTGTTGGAGTGACTTCTCTTAACAGGAAGCAACAATCATGCTTTCATGGTGTGAAGTCCTGCATGGAGGGAAGCATGATGTGTACTTATATATTGTGACAGCTGGCAGAGAAAGAAAAACTTCTTGACAACAAGGAGATACTGTCAAAGTATGTAACTCTCTTCCCCCCTCTAAGAGCAATGATTGATATCCATACAAATTTGTACAAATAAAGATTCTCATGAAAAACAGTTATTAATATAGGACCAGTTGCAAAAACCTTTAAAGATATTGAAGCAGACAACAGTAGAAGTGATTCTATTGTAGTTCCATGGGAGCTTTTATGGTTGGCATGAGAATAATACCTTAAAATAGATGGATTTGTAAATGGATATTAAAACTGCTTTACTCCAAGGGGATACATTTTATAGACAAGTCTAGATGAGTTCTTCAAGAGCCAATGTGCTATAAGGTTACATTTGAAAGCTGTTAAATATCATAATACTTATTGTTGAACCTATTGTTAATAGTAGATCAGAAAGGAACTAATAAAGCTGTGGTCACTTCCTTCAAGTAATGACCAGGCTATTTTTATATAATATTTTAACTACAAATTTTTCATATCACTATTATTAGAGCCAGATTTACATATGTGCTGCAGCCTAGGAACCCCATATGTAATGAAGGGGCCCAAAATTCTATTAGCCCAGGAGCCTCTTAAAGCCTAAATCTAGCATGGACCTATGATGTCACAATCCTGTCCTCAGTCACCAGACAAGTCCATGGTCGATCCTTATGGCCAACCTTGTGCTTGGTTGTTCAGTTTTCAATTCCCACTTGTTGAGTGTGTTTTAGATCACAGGGTGGGCAAAAGCTGAGTTGTATATTCAAAGTCACTGATCCAGTAGTTTGGTGAGATGATGTCACAAGGAACAAGAGACGGCTGTGTAACACAATTTTATATCAAAAGTTCAAACAATGAAAATTCTACTCACTAGATTAAGAGCATGCACCTTCCTCCTTAATACCTCATGACACTATGTCTAGCCACACTCGGTAAACTGGTACAAAGCTGAAGTCTGATTATTATTTTTTTTATTTTTTTTCTTCAAGTCAACCTTTCAGCTGTATTTGGTACTCTGGAACAAGGCTGGAGTCTTTCTGCAGAAGCTGCATTGGGTTTGAACCAACTGGCATGCATCTCTCTTGCAACCCACAATTCAGGCTGTCTGGTTCCTTCTTCCAATGTCCAATATGGTTTTCTCACTTTGCTCACCTATATTTATGGACCTTCATCCAAACTCAGTGCAGGGCATGAGGTGGTTGAGAAATTGATAACCTGATCAAATTTGGGGAGATCCTTACACTGAAGAGTGGTGGTGGCAGAATATTGATCCACCCAACTCTTTCCATCTCATATGGGTGCCTCTCACCATCTTCGCCCAAAGAGTGCAGGTGATTCTTTCACCTTCCATGAAATTCTACCTGTGCCTGAGGCTAGGCATGGTTTTAGCCCCAATTGCTAAATTCAATTATTATCCAAATTTTCCATCAGTGGGGAATTCTCATCGCATCCTTGTGTGGTCAGCTGCAGCTGGGATTTGTTACCTGTCACTTATCCACGCCAGATTTTTGGTAAACAAAAAGAGACAATTCCTCTTAATAAATTTTATCACGGAGACAAAGGAAAAAGTAGTTAAAATATAATCTATTTGACCATATGGGTCAAGTGGGCACTTAAGAAAAATACCATCACTTAAGATTAAGTTGACCATGTACATGAGAGCTAGTCATCATAGACACCTGCCACTAAGGTGGGGAAGAAAGAAAAAAATTCTCTCTACTTATTCTCCTTTGTCTTTCTTATCAGTATATTTTCAGTCTATCAAAAAGTATTGTTTTTCTTTCTTGTTTTCCAGTTTATTTTGAAAGCCTTTTTTCCAATTTGCCAGTGCCTTTGTAATAGTGTCATGAACCAGCTTTGTAAAGTTTTAAAAATTTAAATCAGAAGAATCAGTCAATTTTAAGTATATTGTATTGAATGTAAAGAAAGGGAGATATGAGTAAGATAAATATGTTCAAAATCTGGTTCCTGTCTCATTGCGATCTATCTGCAATATTCAAAAGAAAATATCTCTTGAAGTTAGGCAATTGATTGGTCAGCTGAACTGGTTGGTTGGCCACTCAAACTAGACCATATCTGGGCTACAAATAAATAAATTGATTTCATTATTGATGCATAAAAAAGTGGACTGCTTTAAGCAAGTTAAATAAAAACATACATTTTAAAAGTATATATAAATATATAAAACAAAGTGGGAAAAGAGTAAAAATAAGAAAAAAGATACTCACCATAAAATGGTGGATCAAAAAATATAACAACAAAAAGGGCTAACTGGCTATTGCACCTCAGAACCAATTGAGAACAAAAACATAAATATGTGCACAATTAAAAAAGAAAAATACTACTAGAGAATTAGCAGTATAAATCAGGCAGATTACATTGTAAGTTATTTCTTCTGCTTACAGAGGGAAATGGTCTCAAAAATTCTCAGATATTAGTCTGAATGTGGCTTGTTGATTACTGTGAAAAAATCTTTAATAAAAAAACAAGGCACAAGTTGGATTATTTATTAAGTGTTCTGCAATATTAACAAGCAAAATTTCATACTGCCCTCAACAGATCTTAGTTGGTGCATGCTGATCAATCCTAGTCTCTTTCTGCCAATATATTCTGCATCACACTGACATTTGTAATTATAGATCACTGAACACACGATTGGGCAGTGCAAAACCTCTTTACAAATAGATTTGCAATACGACAAACTCCTAAATGATCTGAATATGAAGGAGAATATAAGGGCAGTATTAAAAGCAGATA